AAAGGCTTTAAACTCTTCCAGACTCGACATGAGGGTTCAATTTTTAAGCAACGCGACACTAACGCTTCAAGTTTTGATAATGTGAACAGCACTGTGTGCTGTCCATAGTATCATTTGCATAGGCATTTGAGGAGCGTTAAAAACGCCCCTCAAACACCTGCTTTCAATGCCAGTCTGAACTAGGCCTAACTTGGAAATGCCCACATCCTCTGAGCATTTGTCTCTGGCTTAACAGGGTGGAAGAAATAAACACATTGAAAGATCTAGTACTTTTGGCATGGCATAAAAGTGAACAATATTCCCAAACTTGGACATTGTGGAACATGTTTGTCTTCTCTGAAGAGGGGAAAGCTCTTTGCTGTTTAGGCTGTTGATTAAAAGATGTTTTTGTTCCTATACCTCTTCTTTTCCTATTCTTTGTCTTCCTATTCTATTCTATCTTTTAAAAAAACAAAAAAATTAGGCAGTTAGTTTTTCTGAGACTTGTTCTACACCATCTCTGGCTCACCATAATGGAGCACACAGTGGTCATCCTTCTAATGACTGTTCTCTGGATAACATAGTGGGTTTACATTGTCTATAATTAAGCTGATCTCTTCTTGTATCCAGACCTTATTCACCAGATACAAACAAATGTATCCTGTACAATGGTATAGGATGTGCTATCTTTTACTATTCTGGAACCTGCCTTTTTTTCTTTGATTAAAAAAAAAATAAAAAAAAAAAAAACATATTGGACCCATAAAAGATGATCAGGGGATGTTGGTCACAAGTGACAAAGAGACGGCAGGTGATTAAAATAAACAACCAAACCACATTTATACACCTCTTTAGAGTCATCTATTAATGTGGATACACTTTCATCTGGGGTGGTTACCCAGGAAGGCCATATATCCATCCTTCAATGATGGTCAAGCTTTTGAGAAGGTAATGATTTAAATATACACCAGTTTTGTGTTTGCTGGGCTGATCCATTCACCCAGTATATTTACCCTATTGTAGTTCCACCTACTATGATCTCTCTTTTTGGTTTTTCCATTTTAGGAAGTCATTCTACTTATTGTGATTATTACCATAATGGTTTCTGAAGAATGATCTCCCTATGCTGATTTTCTATGGAAAATATGGAAAATTCTTTGATCTAGTGGTTAGGAACTCCATTGCCTTATGTGGATCCTCAAACTGCCGAACAACTACTTTATTTGGAGACGCCGAATGTTTTTAAGTGATTTTATTATTACTTGTTTACCATATCTATGTCTAACCTCTATATGATCCATGTGATCGAATAAAGTTTTTTGAATAACAATATTACTCCTCTTGGATTTTGAAGTAACCACTTTTGTTTAAGCAGTACTGCATCTGTCATACTGCTATTTTTTGTTAGGTATATATTGGGTTTATAAATCCACACTAAGTATGAGTGAGACGGAGATATTAATATGACATATTTATAGGTGTCATATTAGGTGGCTCTTTTTCGTTTGGTTGTTTAATAAGTATTCTTAAAGGTCAATATGACCTGTTCTGCTACCTTTATTGAGGTGAATTTATAGGAATTGTTTCCTTTTGGACATTTTTATGGTAAACAATACCGGGTGACTAGAAACAAAAAAAAAAAAAAAAAAAAAAGGGGAAAGATGGCCTATCAGATTAATGAGGAAATGGATGCAGAAATAAAATCAGCATTCACCAAAAATCTGAATCACCAGACAAACGATGGTAATGTGGATATTAGAAATAAATTTAAAATCCATAAGAAACTAACTTCCAAATATTTGAATAGAAAATGGGATATTACCTCCCTAGAATCCTATATAGAAAAGGGAATTATCCGTAGAGGATTACGGGAGAGAGTAATTCCAGCAGAACATCTCCATACCTCTAGGTTTCTGGAAAAATGGAAGGATGTTTGTATTAAACATGGCATTGAAGTGATGCGAATAATAGTAGAAGAAGAGAAGGTTCAATTAGATGAACTCTCTATACAAATTGACGCTAGCACTAAATCCCTAGACCCTCTGAAGGACAACCCTGACTTTGAAAAATATAATGATTTTCTTAAAAAAGAGATAGAAAAAATACAAAAGAATTTGAAATTTACTAAACAACAGAAATTTAAAAGATATCTGGAAGATTGGGAAAGGGGAGAGATCTTTGATCTGTCCATCAATAGAGGAAGAAGTAGATCTAAACGTAAGAGATATTTTTCTAGAAATAATAGACAATATTCATCTATGAGTGAGGATGAGGATGACACTAATAGGAAATCAGTCAGTTTTTTAGAGGAGGAAAAAACCATTGGGGAAAGTCAAGGAATTTTAAAACAGGGAAACAAACCAATGGGAATAACAAAAGACGAAAGGAATGTAACAACTATGTCCAAATCCTCCAACCAAAATCGAACTCGAAGTCACAAGAGATAAAACTACAGGAGAATACCAAAGATCTTAAGGTAATTAATCTATCTAAATTTAAGCTGGAAAAAAGACACTATGATCTATTATGTAAAGGATTAACCTTTTCACCAACAGATAAAATGAATCTATTTGAAGTTTATAAAGACTTGAATTTATTTTTGAGGAAAGTTTTGCTAAGAATTCCATACATTTCTGGAGAAAACAGGACATTTGCTCTAGATTCAGAAAGAGAACAGCAAGCTTTCTTAGATCTTGTGAGCCTCCTGGATGAGACATCCACTGCAGATGACCTGGAGGATGATTATACCCCAGATATTTGGAAAAGACATACTAGATTAACAACATCATCCAGAAGAATGCCGAATATGAGAGAAAATAAATGGCTTAGTACCTTTCTGGATCTGGTTCATAATGACCTGTGCAAAATTGATTGGTCTATGAGGAACCCAGATAATCTAACTAAGGAGGAAAGAAGAGCACTCTTTGAGCTAAAAAATGCGAAAGATATTGTAATAAAGAGAAGTGATAAAGGAGGGAATGTCGTATTATTACAAAATGAAGACTATGAGAAGGAAATTCTAAGACAACTAAGAGATCCTAATACTTACTGTAAGCTACATATAAACCCCTTTCCCAAGATAGTAGAGGCACTTAATAGAAAGATAAAATGGGCATTTGAAGTAAACCTTTTAACAAAACGGGAATATGATATGTTGACAGTTGATATCTACAACATCCCCACATTTTATGTTATTCCTAAAATAAACAAAAAATCCTACTCAACCACCAGGACGTCCCATAGTGTCAGCTATAAAGGGCCCCGTTAGAAACAATTGGCAAATTTATCGATGACCTTATTAAAGATATGGTCATCGAACTTAAGTCGTATGTAAAAGACACTAGGGATGTACTGGGAAAACTTAGCAATTTGGAAATACCTAAGGGAGCACTTTTAGTAGGTATCGATGTCGAATCACTATATACCTCGATCCCACATATTTGGGGATTGAGAGCTATAGCTTTTTTCCTAGAAGTACACTTTCCAGGAATGGAGTACAGAACGAATTTATCTTGGATCTCATAGAATTCATGCTGACACATAATTGTTTTAATTTTTTGGGGGCATGGTACCAACAGATACGTGGTACGTTGATGGGGGCACCTTGGGCCCCAGCATATGCATGCCTCCATCTAGGACTATGGGAAGAAGATCTGGTTTATCCATCCATTCCATTTAATCAACATGTAGTTAAATGGCTAAGATATATAGATGATGTCCTGTTGATATGGGATGGTGATTTAACACAATTGGAATGTTTTCTTGAACTCCTTAATGGGAATGATAGAAACATTAGGCTAACATATATAGCTGATAGAGAAGTAATTTCTTTTTTAGACCTATTTCAATCTGTGAAAATAGATTGATTACAAAAACTTTTAGAAAAGAAACAGCAGCAAATACACTTTTACACGCCACTAGTTACCACCCGGAAAGCCTAAAGCAAGGTATACCAATTGGCCAATTTCAGAGAATTAAAAGGAACTGTACTAATGATGTCCAATATAAAGCTGGATCTATTCAACTTTATAATAGATTTAGAGAAAGGGGATATTCACATAGGACTCTGAGAAGAGCAAGACGTAGAGCTTCATATAAAACAAGAAATGAATTAATCTCTAATTCTAAAATTAAAATGAATGACAATCCTCAAAACCAACCAGTAAGATTTATGACTAAATTTGGACAGCAATGGAATGAGATTAGTCCCTGGACTCCCACTGGCATTTATTAACTCAAAATCCAGGAATAGCACAAATAGTGGGAGATAATCCACATATGGTAGCAAAAAGAGCTCAAAATTTGAATGATATTCTGGTGCAATCAGAATTTCAAAGAATTCCTCAAACAAACTGGCTAAACAAACAAACTCGTATAACCGGGATGTTTCCCTGTGGACATTGTCAAGTTTGCCCGTTTGTACATAGGACCAACCAATTTTGCAATACAGATGAATCCCAGAAATTTAAAATAAAGAATTTTATCAACTGTTCTAGTAATAAGATAATCTATATGATAGAATGCCCTTGTAAAAAGAAATATATAGGAAAAATGAAGAGGACCCTGAGAACTAGAATTGGTGAACATCTGAGAGATATTAGGAATGAAAATAAATATAGAAATAAAAAGAGAGAGAAAATCCACTTGCCCAACACTTTAAAGAAGTACATGGGAGAAAAATTGAGGGCCTAAAGGTCAAAGGAATTTTCCAACTAAATATTTCAGCTAGACGAGGAGACTTTGATAAAGTTCTCCTCCAAAAGGAAAAATATTGGATATATTCTCTTAATACACTAGTTCCCTATGGACTAAATACTGAACTCAACTTTAAAGTATTCTTGAACTGAGTTGGAGAGCCACTTTAATATTGAATGGATATCCACATTGCTAGAGATGAGCGAATTATTCAAAAATTCGATTCGGCTGATTCGGCGAATTCGCGGAATAAATTTGATTCGAGTCGAATATATTCGCTGCGAATTTAACTTATAAAAAGGGTGTTTCTAGGCTTCAGAGAGCCTTTATATTAGTGCAGAACACTGTACCTTTAATTTAAATGCCCTTGGAGTCTGCTGGGGAAGAGAAATAATACTGTCAGTCAGTATGACATGCAGATGAGTGCCGTCGATCTTAGAATCACCGCACACTTCACTCATTTGGGCAGTCACGGGGCCAAAACCAGAGTGTGAAGCCACAGTGTGGCAGTGGAGGCAGCAGCAATGGGAGGCCATACAGCACCCTATGAAAAAATGGAACCCACCAGCTGTGTAAGGAGACCTGAAAGTGGCACATGGCAGAGTGTGGCGATGGAGACAGCAGCAATGGGAGGCCGTACAGGGACCCATGACACACTCTGGACCTGGCAGCAGCATGAGGAGGCGGTACAGGGGCCCATGACAGATTACGGGCCTGGCAGCAGCATGAGGAGTCGGTACGGGGGCCCATGGCAGATTACGGGCCTGGCAGCAGCAATGGGAGGCCATACAGCACCCTATGACAAAATGGAACCCACCAGCAGTGTGAGGAGACCTGAAAGTGGCACATGGCAGAGAGTGTGGGCGATGGAGACAGCAGCAATGGGAGGCCGTACAGGGACCCATGACACACTCTGGACCTGGCAGCAGCATGAGGAGGCGGTACAGGGGCCCATGACAGATTACGGGCCTGGCAGCAGCATGAGGAGTCGGTACGGGGGCCCATGGCAGATTACGGGCCTGGCAGCAGCAATGGGAGGCCGTACAGGGACCCATGACACACTCTGGACCTGGCAGCAGCATGAGGAGGCGGTACAGGGGCCCATGACAGATTACGGGCCTGGCAGCAGCATGAGGAGTCGGTACGGGGGCCTATGGCAGATAACGGGCCTGGCAGCAGCAATGGGAGGCCCGTAATCTGCCAGCACCCTATGACAAAATGGAACCCACCAGCAGTGTGAGGAGACCTGAAAGTGGCACATGGCAAAGTGTGGCGATGGAGACAGCAGCAATGGGAGGCCGTACAGGGACCCATGACACACTCTGGACCTGGCAGCAGCATGAGGAGGGTACAGGGTTACAGGGGCCCATGGACAGATTACGGGCCTGGCAGCAGCATGAGGAGTCGGTACGGGGGCCCATGGCAGATTACGGGCCTGGCAGCAGCAATGGGAGGCCGTACAGAGACCCATGACACACTCTGGACCTGGCAGCAGCATGAGGAGGCGGTACAGGGGCCCATGACAGATTACGGGCCTGGCAGCAGCATGAGGAGTCGGTACGGGGGCCCATGGCAGATTACGGGCCTGGCAGCAGCAATGGGAGGCCCGAAATCTGCCAGCACCCTATGACAAAATGGAACCCACCAGCAGTGTGAGGAGACCTGAAAGTGGCACATGGCAGAGTGTGGCGATGGAGACAGCAGCAATGGGAGGCCGTACAGGGACCCATGACACACTCTGGACCTGGCAGCAGCATGAGGAGGCGGTACAGGGGCCCATGACAGATTACGGGCCTGGCAGCAGCATGAGGAGTCGGTACGGGGGCCCATGGCAGATTACGGGCCTGGCAGCAGCAATGGGAGGCCCGTAATCTGCCAGCACCCTATGACAAAATGGAACCCACCAGCAGTGTGAGGAGACCTGAAAGTGGCACATGGCAGAGTGTGGCGATGGAGACAGCAGCAATGGGAGGCCGTACAGGGACCCATGACACACTCTGGACCCTGGCAGCAGCATGAGGAGGCGGTACAGGGGCCCATGACAGATTACGGGCCTGGCAGCAGCATGAGGAGTCGGTACGGGGGCCCATGGCAGATTACGGGCCTGGCAGCAGCAATGGCAGGCCCGTAATCTGCCAGCACCCTATGACAAAATGGAACCCACCAGCAGTGTGAGGAGACCTGAAAGTGGCACATGGCAGAGTGTGGCGATGGAGACAGCAGCAATGGGAGGCCGTACAGGGACCCATGACACACTCTGGACCTGGCAGCAGCATGAGGAGGCGGTACAGGGGGCCCATGACAGATTACGGGCCTGGCAGCAGCATGAGGAGTCGGTACGGGGGCCCATGGCAGATTACGGGCCTGGCCGCAGCAATGGGAGGCCGTACAGGGACCCATGACACACTCTGGACCTGGCAGCAGCATGAGGAGGCGGTACAGGGGCCCATGACAGATTACGGGCCTGGCAGCAGCATGAGGAGTCGGTACGGGGTCCCATGGCAGATTACGGGCCTGGCAGCAGCAATGGGAGGCCCGTAATCTGCCAGCACCCTATGATAAAAATGGA